CAAAATGGATAGGTTTGTTCTCCTTGCAGTCCAGGGGACTCTCAAGAGTCTTCTGCAGCACCACAATTCAAAAGCATCAATTCTTCGGTGGCCAGCCGCCTTTATGGGCCAGCTCTCGCTTCCCTACAACACTACTGGAAAAACCATAGCTTTGACTATGCGGACCTTTGCTGGCAAGGTGATGTCTCTGTTTTTTAAGATACTGTCTAGATTTGTCATCACTTTCCTCCCAAGAAGCAGGCGTCTTTTAATTTTGTGGCTGCTGTCACCATCTGCAGTGATCACGGAGACCAAGAAAGTAAAATATGTCACTGCCTCCATAGCTTCCCCTTCTATGTGCCAGGAGGTGATGGGACGAGTGGCTATGATCTTGTTTTTTGTTTGTTTGTTTGTTTTATGTTGAGCTTCAGACCATTTTTTGCGCTCTCTTCCTTGTTGTTAGCCATGCTTTCTAAGGCCCACTTGACTTCACTCTCCAGGATGTCTGGCTCAAGGTCAGCAGCCACACTATCTGGGTTGTCTGGGTGCTGCATGTGTTGCTCTCAAACTAACAGCATAAGGGCCAAGATTTGATAAATTATCAGCATGCGTACAACATCAAAAAATCATGTTGTGCAAAAACATGCCAAGTTGAGTATCCCTTATCAAAAATACATGCATATAATTATTTTAAAAGTTTGTATAAATTACCTGGCTTGTATTACTTTAATATTTGTTTCCATTTACTAGAGTTAATGGTTATTTTTCAATAAAAAAGTGTTTGTATCATTGAAAGTTTTGTTATGTTTTGAAAACAAAAGGTGATGATTAATTCAGACAACTGGATGAGTTGTTTTTTCTAAACTAAAACATGAGCATTCAGATTTAATTGCAGTGTTGGCACTTTGAAAGAAATAACTTGGTTTTGTGTCACTGTTTGGGCACTCGGGCTCAAAAAGGTTAGCCATCACTGGGCTAGAAGATCTGGATGACTGCCACACATTCTCAAGTGTATAGATAAAGGAAGTTGAGCAAGATGCTCTGAAACACACAAATGGAACTAATAATTTGATCTTCCCTAACAGGAGCCAACAGGGATTTCAGATCAACGGGAGGGAGAGTGCAAAGTGGCCCACTTTGACTTTCTTCTTCTTTAACCTCTACATCTCAAAAAACTTTCTATTCTAATGATCAACGATGTTAGACGACATTGTTAAATATCAAATTAACAATAAAAATAAATGCTAATTAGAGGAAAGAAAATGAGATAGGAATACCCATTTCTCCCCCTTTCGCTGGTAGCACAGAGTAGCCTAGGAAAATAGAGATGAAAAACGTATGGTTCTTCATATACTGCCGGACCTGAATTTCCATCAACTCCAGCCACCTTTGCTAATGGTGCAGTGATGGGAGTTGCAGCTCATCAACAGCTGATGGGTAGACAGCATCTCATCCTTAATTTAGAAGAATGGGGCAAACATTTTCAAATAGTAATTGCTGTTTTAATGACCAAGCTTCTCATAAAAATGCAAGTTGCACTGAAATAGGCAGGAAGGAATTTACTAAACAGATAGCACATTTGAAGGTTTAAATCCTATGCATGCAGATTGTGAAGTTCCACTTCAAAGAATAATATTCATGTGCCATCAAGTCAATTCCAACTTATGATGACCCTTTTCAGGATTTCCAATTAAAGAATACTCAAAGGCAGTTTACCATTCCCTTCTTCTGCAGGGAGCGGGTGGGGGTGCCCTGGAACTGTGTAGCTTGCCAAAGATAACAGGCTGGCTGTACTTGCAGGAGACACAGTGGGGAATCAAACTCCCAACCTCTGCCTCTGCAGCCAGAGACCTAAACCACCTCTCGCTAGTGTCCAAAGCACAGAATTGCAGAATTTACAGTGGTGCCTCGCTTAACGATTGCCTCGTTTAGCGATGAATTCGCATAATGATGTGTTTTTTTAGAAAATAATATGCATCGCATAACGATGTTTCCTATGGGCGATTTTCACTTGGCGAAGTTTGGGACCATGCTTCGCATAACGAATGCGATTTTAGGACCCCTGCTTCACTTAACGATGTTTTTTTTCCAATTAAAAAAGTGTCTTAGAAGGGTCAAAAACGGTTCTAAATGCTTGGATTCGTTAGAGGACCCCTTAAGTCATGTGCAAACCTGATTTGGCTTTGATCTGACTTTTCGTTAATTTTTTGTGAATTTTTTTTT